TTATGCTGTCAATATGTAACTGTTTATTATTACACATGAGTATGTCAAAAATCAAGAAAAATATATATTCATGACTTTGTCCTTCCTAAACTCTAAATATTTTTCTTTTGGCTGACTTTTTTTTTTTTCCCAACAGTCATTTAGTTGCAAAAGCGGTAAAATAAAGTGATACTAGGCACTTGGTGGGATGTTCTTTGAGGTTTTCCTACCTCCTTTGAAAGATTTTTAAATTTGTCGTTATTTATTAGAGTGATATGAAACAAAATTGATACTTAATGGTGCAATGTGAGAAATTTTATAGTTAAAGGTACAAAATAAAACAAGTGTAATAGTTCAAGGGGGGTAAAATATAATTTACCCTTTTTTTTTAGCCTATCGTAGTATCTTAGCATCCAACAGTATACAACTGGTCGCAAACTTGTTGATGTGGAAAACATGAATGGGTTTAGCATGATTGTTTGTTCTGACCCATCATGGGTTGGATGAGTTGCAACATATAGTATCATAGTTGCAGTTTCCTTGACAGCAGCCTTTGTGCTTTAACCTTAAAGCACAAATTTAATGATTACCGGTTCTTCTGCGCATGCTTCTATCCTGTTTATTGGTGGATATGGGGTTTGGGATTAAACGAGTGTAGCAAAAGCTTCTTTAAGCTTCATAGTATTTGTTTAATGCTTCTTTTAATGAGTTGAATTGTGTTTTTAAACTCTAATAAGCCATAATCCAAGAACTTAAATCTCGTGACTTGAAAATATATAAATGGATGATCTAATTTAGAAAATTTGAACCAACGAACCTATATCATTTGCATACATGATACCAATAGACTAAAAAAACTTTCGAATCTTAGAGATGATCATCGTCTGTCTTCCCTCTGATAAGAATGCGTTCGGACCTAGATCCATCATTAAATACCAAATACTTGTGATTTTTGGTCCTAATATAGATGAAGTAGAGCTCTCCAAAATTGGAAAAAGTAGGGGGTGACAACTTTTCATAGAGAGAAGAAAGATGGTATAAAGCTTCTTCAAAAACGATAAATCTTCCCAGACAAAAAAAAGATTGTATATCATTAAAGCAAAGACAATCAAGTTAGTAAAGCAATCTACTAGATTAGGAATCTTCTTTAAAATTGTTCTTAGGTATCAAACCCATCATTTTCTAGTTTGGCAGGACCACACTGAAAGAAAATAGGCCCTCCTCAAGCCACTTTGAGTGCAGCATGCGAGAGAGAGAGATCCTGTGGGTCTCATCTATCTGGGTTTTTATTTGTTAATTAAGTTGTTAAACTATTTCGGGTACAAATCACTGATGTCAAACACATGGAGGCATTGCCCCCATAATCAATCGGTTTCCAAACAAGGCCATATCGGATGGTGTTCGACGATATTACTCACAGAACACTTTTTCTAATTACTTGCCATGGTTTGCTTTGTTGGTTCCGGATTAAAATGTAATCCTTTGGGGGGAGAGAAGTATGTAGGAAGAGATTAATTTAAGAATATTTGTAAGCAACCAACCAAACAATTCTAACGATTGCAGTGACAACCATCAAAGCAAGAAGTATAGGCTTGCAAGATCGAGTGGAGAGAGCAGAATTTGACAGGTATTGCAGCTACTAAGGTAACGGGCAGCTTTCAAAAATGGCTATTGTATCTAGGCTTTGCTAGGATTTGGGGCGGAACTGAAAGAGAAAAAAGCTTAATGCAAGCAACATAGGTAATCAAGTAACAATTGAGAGCTGAAGGTCTGATCCCACCTAGTGGCAAATTCAACCATGAAGTTTTAGTGTTTTCATTACTCTATTTTAAGGATTTCTATCACAACATTTTTATTTCGGTATCACAATAGTGATAAAAAATACTTACAAATATAGTAAATCATACACAAAAGTGATAATTTTTTTGATATTACAACAATAATAAAAACACCTAGAAATATAATAAAAGCCGGTATAATATCCAAATTTTGTTTTTGTGGGTAGATAAGTCCCTATTTTAATCCAACTTGAGCCTTGATACGAAGGAGGTGGATTGGCGGAAAACTGATTATGATCAGCTATTCTTATTTACTCCGAATCTCCGATGACAGCAGAGAATCAAAGCAGGTGGACATTACTTGGCCAGGTGGGGGCATTGCAATCCGTTTCTGAGGCACTTTACCACACCATGGTCTTCCTCTTCCACGGGCAGTCTAAATTGCATGCACAAGGATGCCTCTTTTATGTCATGTAGGTTTAGAGCTATTCGCTTTATTTTTAGAGGTATCCACGTTGGTAGCTTATCGAAAATTACATTCGTTCGTGGACATTTGATAAAATTGAAACGACACAGAAAAGATTAGCATAGTTTTTATGCAACGATGATACGCACAAATCGAGAAATAGTCCTTATTGAAAATTATAATTTTTTAATATAAAATTATAAATTTTTGATGTATAATTTATAACTTATAAAGAGTATGATCGATCATAAAACATTGTAATCGATCATAAAATTTATAATTTTCAAAAGTTTAACGGAAAAGTTATAACTAATTAAGAGAATTTCATAATCAATCATAAACTTCTTTCACCCAATTGTACTACTTCGTTCAAAAATGTAATTTTATCATTAAAAATAGAGTAATGTTATTTATATTTAAAAATTTGACTTTATTTATTGATCAAATTTATTATAATTTTTTGATTGAGTGTGAACCCTATTAAACATTTAAACTTATTTTTTTTTAATAATTTCAATGAAACCAAGTTATCAAATCAATAAATAAAGTCAAATTTTTAAGTTAAAATAAAAATTACTCTTAAAAATAATAGTATGCTGCCCAAAAAAAATAATTGGGTATGGTAGAATTTTCCTATTTGGTGTGAGTGAGTACCCACATTGATAATTTAGGTCTGCTATGTCAATCATCACCCATCATAGATAGTCTTCCATTCTCTTCTACATCACATCACAAATCTAAGTAAATTTCTGTGATTATGTCCCACTAGGAATAAAATTGATGATCACCAATTTCCCACACTGCACTGTACCACACAAGATCATGACTGGGGAGCAAACGGGCAGTTAATTTCGGAATAACTTCAATTTCAAGCAAGATCAGTATATCACAAGCCTCACCTGTGTTGACCAGATATTGATACTTTGACCAGTTTGATATTGGGAGTCCTATACAAATATTTTTTATTACCGTATCTTTATTTTTTTATCAATAAAAATATACTATTTATACAAATTTTTTATTTATAATTATTAGTTTTTTATTTGAAGATTACAATTAATTTAATTTAAATTTAAATTTAATGATCGAAACCTTACAAGGACAATGAGGTAATTATCTGATCAGATTCGATTGTCCCTTACCTCTGACTCTGACTCTGACGACCAAAACCCCAAAACTAAAGCAAAAGATTGCACTGACAAATCAATAAACAAACGATAAACTGTTATCCAGCTTAAAATTAAATAAATGAAAAATGAGAAATTATGCCATACTCTGCAACAACAGCATTCTCCGTGGACTGTACAATCTGGACAACGGTCTACCATATCCATAAGCTTATGCACCCAAATGGAAAATGTGGGTACTTTATGAAAGTGATTACTAGTTGTAAATTTTGGTTTTAAAATTTTTTATTTAAAAATTGTGAAAAGAATATAAAGTTCAATAATAACATCAGTTACACCTGCATTATTTTTATTAGACGAAATAAAAAATATATGGTACCAAAAATTACCGATTTCATAGTTGTACCCTATCATGATAGTTTAAGGGTTGATAGGGTGATAGACCTCAGAGACAGTGGGTGTTCTCAAAAGAATTGTTGGGTTTGCTGGTGGCACTAAGAAAAATGAGTGTGTAACAGCGAAGAGAGGTCTGTTAGAATAGTTGGCAAAATGTGTCAGTAAAAAGAGAAAAAGAAAGAGATGTCAAGTAAGCTTGAGCTTCAAGAGAAGAACCTCTCCAACCTGTTATGAGAGAAAAGAATAAAAGATATATAATGTTGAATAGAGTATTTACAAGGAAAAAGTATGTGGGAGAAAATAGAGATTGGGTTCTGTAATAATTTAAAAGCAAGGGTAGTTAGCAGTAGTTAGTCTGTCTTTTGAAATCACACGTCACCTGTTAACTTGGGCAGGTAAGTCTTTCATCCCTTTATATGGTGTCACTCTTTGGCCCCTAGTTCTTTCTATATTCTATATACACTAATTTGATCTATTAAAGTCGGAATTTGATGCTTCTTTAGCTGTTTCTGCAAGTACCCAGCTGGTGAATTTCGTGTTTCTTGTAGAATTTTAGCAGGCATTTGATGCTCTTGAGGGGTTCTATCAAACACCCAATTTGGAGGACTGTTTTTTTTTAGTCCCTGCCCATTTCATTTATGTATAATGCAAGTCGAATTTGATGCTTTCTGGTCATTTTTGGCTAACCATCGGAGAGTATCTCGAAAAGGTCTCTGAAAACTGCCCTTTCTGGGTTCTGTGGGGTTGTTTGGTTGTTGATTCTATGCGTCCTCAACAATTGGTATATTTCCATATTAGGGCTTCTTTGGAAATCATTTTTGTTTCATTTTGATTGCTTCAAGCTTTGAGTGATCCTCATCGTTGGGTTTCAAGTGAAGAGACTCAAGCCTGCTTTGGATTCTATTAGTATCTGATTAGGGGCATTGTGTGAGAATTGATTCCTTCTTATACAAATAAAAGGGAGAAAAGGGAATATACTTTCTTCCTTAGTTTTGTGAGCTGTTACTTAGCTAATGACATACACTTCTTCTCTGTACTTTGAGCTCTGAAAGGTTTACACTTTCTTCTCTTTGTGAATTACTTTCCCAAAATAGAATAGGCTTGATACTAGGGTTTTTTTTTTTTTTGAAGAAGCTGTAAGTAGCTGTATATGTGTAGATTTTAGGCCTGTTAGATTGATTTCAATTTTTCCTGTTTCTATAGGATTCTGCAATGAGAAGCTTCTTTTGCTTTAAACGCATCCCAGTAAAGCTGCCAAGGTTATTTGTTCCTTGTTGAGTCCTGCACGATATTACGAGCTATTTTGTGTCAAACCCACTTTTTCCTTTAGCTATATAGTTCCTTCTGTGGAGTAGATGTCAAGTCCTGTTTGCCTTAAGTACTGAATTGGGGTTCATTTTGGAAGTTGTCTTGGTCGAGTTCCATAGATTTGGGATTTCCTTTTGTGTTATGACCATGGGTATTGAAGATAATGGTGATATGGGTTTTGAACTCAGGGGTGGTGCTAGTATTCTGGATTGCCCTTCTTCAGGAGTGAATTCAATTCCACTCTCTGAGAAGATTGCAGGAAGAGCAATGAGCTCAGGGGCCATATTTAAATCTACAAATGGGGCAGACCCTTTCTTTGGTTCTGATTGGAATTCACTTTCACTGAATCAGAGTGGGAATTTTGAGGGCTCTTCAATGGTACCTCATAATGAGTTTGCCAATCCAGCTTTCCCAATTGTGGTAGAAAATCAAGCAATTGGTAGCTCTTCGCACTTTGTTCATTATCCCTCTGATCTGGGTCTTGTTGAGATGGTGCCAAAGCTTCCAGGTTTTGGTAGTGGAAGCTTCTCAGAAATGGTCAGTTCCTTTGGCCTACCTGAGAATGACCATATCACAAACAGCGGCCGCCCTCTGAATTATCTCCGAAACAAGGAGGGTGGCATTGAAAAGACCTCAACCAATAATGCACGTTATCAGGAGTGCAAAGATTCAGAAGAGGGAGCGCCACTGAATGGAAGAAAGAAAAGAAGAGCATCAGAGTCCCATTCTCCTTTCAATACCTATAAGGTAAATTGTCATAAGAGTTGCTGATCTCTGTTGATTATCACTTGTACTGCTTGCCCGTTCATATTGTGTCATATATCAGTTGGTGAACTCTTTAAATTTGTCTATAGAATGCTGAAGGGGAGCAGCAGAAGGATCCTTCTGTGGACAGTTCAGAATTTCTGAAAAAACGGGAGGAAAGGGAACAGAAAATTGAACAAAACATTAGTGCCAATTTGCTTGGTAAGCAAACAGGTAAACAAGCTAAAGATAATTCTAAGAGTGAAGCTCCTAGAGAAAATTATATTCATGTGAGGGCCAAACGGGGCCATGCTACTAACAGTCACAGCCTCGCAGAAAGGGTAACTTATTAATCTTGTGTAGTTAATTTTACAGAAATTCGATGATGATATTGAAATATCCTTAGAAGTGTTTTACTCTTTCTGGCTTGCAGTTGAGGAGAGAAAAGATTAGTGAGCGAATGAGATTGCTTCAAGAACTTGTTCCAGGCTGCAATAAGGTGATTGGCTTATCTCTAGCTTTTGATTATTCCCTCAACTCAATTACGAATACTGAATATTGGTGTTGTTTCTTATCATAGATAACTGGGAAAGCAATAATGCTCGATGAAATCATCAACTATGTGCAATCACTGCAACAGCAGGTCGAGGTATGCTAATTTGCATCTCTCATGGAAGCCACTGATTCTTGACTTTGTAATTGAAGATTTCGTTATATGCAGCACCATGGTAGGTTTGGACCTCAAGGACGGAATAGCTCCAAATATCCAATTGCTGCACGTACTTGAGAATTTGAGTTATTGTAAAGTAGACAATAGGAGTCTATTCAAAAAATGTTGCCTAGAACTCGAGAGCTTCCTCACTTCTTAAGACCGGCACGAGTTGTTCTTGATCATGTACTATGATCAAAACAAACATAAATGAATAACCTCATGAATAGACCTGTAGTTGCTTCATTTTTGCTGCTGGACCAATTTCTTAGCATCTTTCAACTTTTTTGGGAATCGTTCTTGAATAGCAGAACATGAAATTGGATTATCTGAATTTCCTGTGCAAATTTGAATCTCGTAATTCAATTTTTCTGTTTTCACTTATCCCATGATATGGTGAAGAGGTTTTAACTTTGTTGTCACAGTTTTTGTCAATGAAACTTGCGACTGTCAATCCAGATATGAATGTGGATATAGAACAAATTCTATCCAAAGATGTAAGTCAAGATCAACTAGGTGCTAGAATAAGTACATAAACTAATCAATTATGTTAGTGAGGATTTTTAACTTCATGCTTGTGTCACCTGTGTAGATCCACTCACGAGGAAGCAACGCAGGTATTTTTGGATTGGGACAAGCCTTGAGCTCCTCCTATCCATTCCCCCAGGGAATTCCACACGGAACCTTGCCGTGTATCCCAAGTACAGCACCCCCATTTAATCCCATGAGCCAGGTAACATCAAGATCTCATCATTGTACTCTTATCCTTTCCCATATTGAAAGCATTAACTCAGGTATGTTGTCCGATAAATAGTCCATATGGGATAATGAGGTCCACAATATTCTTCAAATGGGATTTGATTTCAACTCAGCTGCTATATGCAATCGGGGACCAAATGGTAAGTGCCAGAAGTTCTGATAACGATATTGGGAAAGTGGGTTTCCTCCTTTATTTTTATTGGGTCCTAACCCTTATTATTCTCCATGTTTAACAACAGGGTGCTCAAAATCGGAACTCTAGAATAGTGGAAGAGGGAAGAGTTTTTGTTTCCTTTTACATGTCTCCCAGCTAACTGCAGATTTGACTCCATTAGCGAAGAAAAAAATGAGCTAAATTCTTTAGCATTGTATAGGTTCTCAAGTCTCCTAACTGTGTTCTTCGAATTTTAGCAGAAGAAGATGACTCGGATTGAAAAAAATCAATGTCTAAGAAAGAAAAAGCAAGAATTTGATTGGGGAAGATGATTGTTTTGTTTGGTGTTTGAGAGTAAAAATATTATTGAAGAGCTTTGTGAGGATTTTGGAGAAACTGATGGGGTGAGTGAGTGAGATTGCTGGTGAGTTTCATGTCATTCCTTCAAAGACAAGTTACATCCTTAGGCAAAAAAAAAATGGCAAATGGGTTTCTCCACTTTTCCGATGGCTGGAGCTTATGCTTGTGTAATTTTGAGTTGAGTTACTTTTGTTTTAGTTTAACCCATCAAGAGAGGAATGATACATGGTTTAGAGGCAGGCATACAAGTGACTTGATTGTCCAAGAAAGCACTAATAAGTCTAATTTGTTTTATACCGACAACCGGCAAGTACAAGCTTATCGTATAGAAAAAAAAATTGTGGGTTTCGTATCCATATATTTCGGTTTGACAGATTTATAATCTTTGATTATGAAAAAAATTATAAAGAGCCCATGTCAAAATTTTATTAGATTTTTTTATATTTTTTTTCAAACCAAACTCGAACAACTAATTAAGTATCCAAGGTAATGATCCAATTCAAACCAAAGTTTACATTATAAATTCCAAGTAGCAAAATAATGCATAAATCCAATCTAAACAATTACGACACCAAGAGTTTGTAACCCAGTTTCAAACTAACGAGAAGCAATCTTTAATGGGTTAGGCCTCATAGTCCGGATCAACATCCTGATTCATCTCAGGTTCTACCAGCACATCCTTAGGTAAAAAATTAGGTGAAATTGTATGACACACTTTAAATTACAATTTTGAAATAACACCCATAATCGAGCACCCCGACCGTGTTCCAATAAATGTTTTCTGAAAAAGTTGCGTATACGGGCTTCAGTTCCATGCTTTTGGAATAACAGGGAAAGGGCCAGGCGTCTCCGAATAGGGTTTAGTTTTAGAGAGAGTGCAATGCATAATCTTGAATACTTTTAAAACCCTTCTCAGCTGCAGCTTTACATATCGTCTCCTTAGTCTTCTGTGGGTCATGAGAATAAAATAGACCCCTTGGGAGTTCCCCGACATGTTGACCACGAATACGATGAATGCCCCTGATCGCTGAAAGATAGGGGCAGCAACAAGGCAAGGCAACCACACAACCAGACGATAGGTTAGCGACGTTCGAAACTTAATGGATTGATTTTGGGAGACTCTCCGAAGATTTTGAGGGGATGAGAGAGAAGGGTTGGGGTTCTTTAGTTTAGTTAATTAGGTTTGGTGCGTGAACTAATTTTAATTTTATTGAAATTTTAATATATATAAAAAAATATTTGGTGTTTTTAAAAAAATTACATTGAACTAAGCAATTTGGAATATATCGATCGTTTATCTGAAGTGTTGATTTGGTAGTTACATAAATTAGATCGCAGCAGTTAAATTTTACGTTTCCGTTTATAAGTTTAGGCATATATTCGTTATGATTTATGTAATTTTAAATTGTGTTTGATTTTATGTATTTGTGTACCTGTGGGGATAGATAGAGAGAATAATGAAGTAATAAATGGTCTTTTAATCTTTTTTTTCAAAAAATTGTGTTTAGGGTTATATAAGTTTCGTTAATATAGTTTAACTCAATTAAATCTAAATTTTTGTACCCATCTTAAAATAGCTAAGTGGGCTACAGGCAATGTTGTTTCTGGACTGTGATGGGCGGGCTACAAAGATCCCTCGTCCCCCTGGACTAAGGCCTTTGTTGCATTAGAGAGAGCATTGTAACAACTTTTTCCCGATGCTTGATTTTCTAAAAGGGAAGTGAGCCTACCCAACTAGCGGAATGCCTGGGCCAGAAGATCAATGATATGATTGTCCCATCGAGGAAATGGGCCGGTTTATTGATGTTCCCGAAGCCGTGCTCCTGAGCCACAAAGACGTTCTTCTCTGTATCTTTATTTTGGCCCTAATTTGTCAAGTGGGAAGCTTGCTTTGGGAGCTAAACATTACTCCACGGGGCAGTCTGAAAATCCAAAAGCCCATTGGACCTTGTTTGGTTTGATTAAAAAAGATAAAGATAAAACTTTAGACGGATGAAAATTTTTAAAAATAAATAAAACGTCGTGTTTAATAAAAAAATAAAATTGTTATATTGCTTAAATTATAATCTGAACTTTTTTGTCTCAAACACATGTGCACCACCATACATATCACTTTTGTGGGTTCCAAAAAATCAGCTTTTGGGGTGTGATGCACACATGCAACTGGGATAAGAAATTTGGGTTTTGGTTTGGACAACATAGTATTTTTGGATAAAAAAAAATGATGAAAAAATGAGAGAATTAACCTTCTTTTTAACGTACTAATATATATTCCTTCAAAATTAAGAGGAAAGTAGAAGAAAAATTAATTATGTATATTATTTATCTTTTTTTATTTTTTATATATATGCATGTATTATATTTATCCATTAAGAGTAATTCGTGCTTGCAATGTGAACAGTTTTGAGAAAAATATTTGTAGTCGTTAGATGAGTGTATTTGAGACCGTCAGATCAATTTATTAAAATATGTCTTATTTTATATTATAAATTTATTTATATTTTGTATACATTAATTTCATATAAGATATAAAATTTAATCAATGTAGCATTAGTATTGTTTGGCCAATTTCTACGCATCCTTATTCTGGGCCTCTCTGGTCAAAAAAGCTACCAACAAGTTAACCAGAGACTCGGACGACATGGACTTTGGATATGTTTGGTTTAGATATTAGTGGATAAATTGGATTAATTTAATCATGTAATAATGTAATATTTAATTTGAACGAGATTATAGGAGCTCAATATTAATTTTAATTAATCTCAACTTGATTTATTATTGTTATTTAATACATAATATTAGGTAATAATGAATATTATGTAGTAAGTGATACTATTTTTAATAATATTATGTAAATTCATATTCTCAATATTTGTTTTATTATTTTTAATTTAATATCATGTACTATTATTTAATCCAACCATAAATTTGGTATTATATATTATCCAAACTTTGATCCAAATTTATTATACAAGGATAAAATTAAATAATACTTTTATTAACAGCATTTTATAGGTTGAATGGGAACTAATTACCTAATCTCATCATTTATTTTGTACATGAACTAAATATGTCCTTATAGTTGCTGGCCATGGTATTGTCAAATGACTAATTCTATGTTTATCAAAAAAAATATTTTAATTAATTTGAATGGTTGAATTAGTAAATCTAATAACTTTTTTTTTATCAAATTCACTGATTCAACCATGCACTTGATAAAAAAAAAATTTGGTTAGCATAACATTTTCAGAGAAGTAAGATTCAATTCATGAAAGTAACACAATTTATTGTTTGATTTTAGTAGTACTGTAGTAACGAATTGTCCTTCTGAGTTAGTAGTTATGGCTAAAATCAAACATTTTGTAGAGATACTCTTGTGGTCATGTCCAAATGAGTTATTACTTACTGGTCACTCTTCATGTATACATATTCTACCACAAAAAAACAACTTTTAATATTACCAAATAGGATAATTCTACAGTATTAAAAAATTTTTCTCGGTATCATATTAAAATTTTTATTGTTTAAGATGTAAATTATACCTTTTAAAAATATAAAATTATAATTATTTTGAGATAAATTTATGATTGATCATAAAATATTATAATCAGTCATAAATAAATACCTCTAATTATTTGTAATTTCATGGTGAAAAGGTATACATTGATTCTAGATTACAATATCTGAAAATCGATCATAATTTATAATATATATTATTATAACCTATAATAATTCAAAGAAAAATAACTAAACAAAAATAAAGTAGTATTACTTCAAAGTCCAAATAGACACTGACAGAGAGTAGCAAAGAAAAGATTCGGAGTTAGATTTTGGACGTTGACAGGTCCTCTCTTTCTCCCCCACTCCACCAGATCGTACAGACCCACCGTCACCCACACTTATTGTGTTTCTTTCTCAGCGTTACCCTTTACCCACATTCCCACACCATAAGCGCAAGAGAAGCAAAATAACTTTGGACAAATCCATAAAACTGTACATAGCGTTATCAGCCACTCATAAGCTAATTAATTAGACGCTGTCTGTCTTGTAAGTTTTGTCAATTTGTTGTCTTACTGGCTACACAGTTATCATTGATTCAGTGTACATAACCCAGAAGCGGCAAACAGTACTATGTAAATGTGAATTGTTTAACCCAAAAAAAAAAAAAATTATCGAATCCATAGTGAGTTGAATTAAAAAAAAATTCATACTACTCATTGGTCCAAATAATTCTCATTAATTAAGTAAGTTAAATTTAATTTATTTTTCTTTGGTAAGTCAAATAATCATCTTATTTCAAAATACTAAGTTCACCCCATATGTACCTACCACATTAGTTATTAAGTTCATCTCATTTATATTCATCCAATTAAACTACTAAATATATATCAAAAAAACTAAAACAAAAATAATAATTGAAACGAATTTTCAATGTTCCGATATGATCTATATTATTTTGAGATATTTTAAGATTTTTTAATATATTTTTACCAATGTCTTTTGGAATATTTTGAGATGTTTTAAAATATTTTCGTATATTTTTACTAATATTTTAAAAATAATTATTAATTTTTATTCTACTACTAAAATATTTTTGTACCAAAATAATACATTGAAACAAAATTTTGATCATTGTATACATAATATGTTGAAATAAAATTTAATGAATTTAATTTTTAATCATTAAATGTAAACGGGGTGTGTGTTAGTAACTAATGGGGTGAATATAGACGTAATAAACTTAATAGTTTAAAATAAGATAATTAAATAGAGTGAGAAATGAGTTTTAAGGAGCGGGAATAGGCATAGCCCCACCCTTAATTCTGAGTTTAAATATTAAATAAAAGGATTAATTATAATTTGTTCCCTCTAACTATGCTTCTTATTGTAATTAGTTCCCTATGGTTTTGAATTTTACAAGTTGCCTCTTCCAAGTTGCAAGCCAACAAAATTAACTGATAACAGTGGTCGATTGGAACATGAAAGTACTATTACATGATCTATCTTATACATTATTTTACATATTTTCTTCTTGATATATCAATTATATTTCTAAAAAAATAAGAAAACAGAAAAACTAAGAAAAAAAAGTATATATGTTCAACCTAA